GTTGTTTAAAAAGCACCGGAGGCTTAAGAGTCGCACTTTAAGGTGTGACTCATGTGAAGACTTCAATAATCGCCTCAAAGCTATGGTTTGAGTGCAATTTCTCTAGCTTCATGCCTCAACTGACTGAGGCATAAGCCTTGAGACAGTTGAGGTGTGCGCTCTTGTCTTGCCTTTACTAGGCTTTTTATTCTGGCTTCAACTATTTGGGCTGGTATTTTATTAGTATAGAGCATTTTTTAAGGAATTTCCAGGCTATTTTAAACAGAACCCAACTCCAAAAACTCAATCAAATAAAATAAAATAGAACTGGAGAACAGGGAAGAGAACAAGTGAAGCGTGCATGTCCTAGCCACCTACATGAAGTGCGATAAACCTCTCCCTGTTGAAGTTTCCAGTGACAAGGAACATACGACACATAATTCCTCCCTTTTCCCTTTTTTATATTTTCCCTTTTCTTGTTCTTGTTCTTGTTCTTGTTCTTGTTCGTATCTCTGCTATTTTGTTTCCTTTTCTTTTAAACTTGAAGCAAGCAAATTGTTGAATAGGTGGTTAGTTCATTTGTTTGAATAGACTTTTAGTTCTAGCTGTGGATTAATGGTCCTGCCATGCAGTCACATTTCTGTTGCTAATTCAGTATTTGATACTTTTCTCGATCCATTTTATGTTAGACTTCAAAATTTTGTTCAAATGTTCTATTAATAACTTTTTAAAATATTTTATGTTTATCATGAATTTAATTTGTATTTTGTATGTTTTTGAATTATTTTATTGCTTTATGTTGAGCTTAAGCCTCGCCCAAAGGAGGCAAAATGCCCTGATATCGGATTTATCCATTTCAACACTGATGTTGAGAACTACACTTTTGCTTCTTAAATTATGGTGATTATCTGCTACTATATTGGCCTTTCTAATCTGATTTTTTGAAAACACGTCAAAATGATTAGAAAAGCTTGCTGCTAATTTGTTTCTTCTTTGCTACAGGGGATGGACTTGGCCATTTCCAAATTGAACCGTGGTGGCTGGGTTCACATATTTCCAGAAGGCAGCCGGTCTCGAGATGGTGGAAAAACCATCGGATCTGCCAAGAGAGGTATTGGGAGGTAAGATATCATAAATCATTTACAAGGCAATGCCTACTCATTTGATTGCTCTTCTTTTCTGTCCTTTGAATTGCATCAGCTTGTTGCTGAACCATTTTTAAGTTGTTCGTCTTCACTAGATTATGCACTAAAATTTAACTAATGTAGTTGTGTATATTGTATTCCTAACCCACACGCATATATATTCCAGACAGCCATAAACTCACAACTGATTATCTTACGCATAGACCCCTTTTTTGGGATGGGCTACAAAGTACTATCATAATATCATTAGACATTAGCTATATTAAATAAGATAACCAACCCAATAAAGAAAGATTTTTAGCCAAAGAAATAAAGAACATTTGCCTTGCATGGGGTGAAATAAATCATGTGAATGTGCCTTGTGGATCTGGACTGGGGAAGCATTTTAAGTCGCTGGCAGTGGATAGGGGTGCCTTCAGCAACCACTTAGCGGACATGGTCTAGTGAACACTGTCAGTTCATATGTAGTTTCATTAGCCAAAACAATTATATGGATATGTGCGTGTGTGGGTATTATTCAAGGATTTGAATAATACCTATAAGCATTGGAGGTTCCACATCCCTTAATGGCTTGTAATTGTTTGCAAGTCTTGGTTAACAAGTACTTGCCATTGTTCTGTCAATTTAAAATAATTCCTGCTAGTTTATCATCTGGTTGATCCGAAAATTCGAAATGTTAATTTAACAGCAATGCTGATGTAGAGATATAAACTCAATTATTTTAGTTTATGTTAATTAAAAAAAAATTCCCTTGAAAAACAATCCCAGTTTTCTCGTCAAACATGTCATTGGCCTCTCCATAAACTTGTTAATAATTTGAAATAAAAGCTTGTGAATTACCGAGGATAAAGGCCCTGAATAATGTTGTTCTGTTCTTCTCTTGGTTACAAAACCTCTGAATGATTGAAATAGTAGCGGAGCAATGTCAGCCTGTATTCAGTCCCTGAGATTATGTAACTAATACTGTCTTTTTTGTTGCAACCATTAATTTTTTCTTAGTTTATGCTTTCAGTTTGGAAATTTAGCATGTCTCGTGTATATTCTACAGGTTGGTCTTGGATGCTGATAATGTACCAATGGTTGTCCCCTTTGTGCATACAGGAATGCAAGAGGTCATGCCAGTTGGATCCAAGTTTCCTAAGGTTGGCAAGACGGTATGTACTTTATTCTGACTTCGGCTTGTTATTTCACTACGTATCAAGAGCATTTATTTCTTCATTCTATTTCCAGCATCATCATTCTTCAACATTCTGCAGTTTTTTATTCCAAGTTTCTTTTATAGACTTTCTAGTAGTTAAAGACAAATCCATTTGACAAAGTGCAGGTGACTGTACTCATTGGTGATCCCATTAATTTTGATGATTTACTCCACGAAGAAGAGAACAAAAATGTTTCAAGAGGAAAACTCTATGATGCTGTGTCTGCAAGAATTGGCGACCGGCTTCAAAAACTAAAACTGCAACTCGATAAACTAGCTGCTGAACAAGCACTGCAATTGCAAAAATATCCCGTGCCTGTGGCTGAGCTAGCAGCTAGGTCTCTGCATCTAGTTGATTGGGAATCACTCGGAATGGAGAATCATCTAAGTGTTGAAGACACTTCCTCAAAAAAACAATATCCACCTATGGAACCCGAAGTAGCTGAAATCTATCAACAAGCAAGCAATTCTCAGAATCGGTACTTCAGTGTTGGCTTCTCTGGTGGTGGAATAGTTTCGAGGATAAGGGGTTATATGGACACGACAGAATCAGTGGGATTTGCAGCTAGAGGCTTATTTATTAACCATAAAAATGAATATTTTGCAAGTATTCAAGGTGTTAGGTCTTTGAAAGCATGGAACGACTTCTGGAAGTCAATGTCTGGAGACTTCCCTCCTAACTCAGTTTTCGCTTCGGCAATGTGACAAAATGCCGGTTCATTTTAGTTCTTTTGTGCGTTTTCTATTTACAGGTTTACAAATTTACTTTCTGCAGTTTTTAGCTTTGGATGAGGGGTCATAAAAGTTTATGCAGTTCTCGCGTTATGTAGAAATTTGAAATATTTCCAATATTTTTCGAAGTATTAGGGAGGCAATGCATGTTTGTAGAATTATAATGAAGAATGCAGTGTAGCAAGGAATTCATTGGTAAGTTTACAAGGACGTGCTCAAAACTTAAGAAATCAGACATCCAATTTAAAAGTGAACTCTTAGTACACTTGTTACTCTCAGTTTAGAGTCAACTTTGTTCATTTATTCAACACATCAATCAAGAAGGAAAATAATAATTTTTTACCTATAAAATAACTTTCAGCGTAAAAAGGGAAGGCAAGTCCAATTCATCAACGATAGCCAATCACTTAAATGACCAAGAGTAACCAAATTTGACAGAGAGGGATAAAGACGACTACAGGCATCCTTCTAAAGATACCATTGGGTGTGTAAATGAAGTTGTTTTCTAAATTTTTTTGATATATTTATCGAATTCCTGCTTTATTTTTGTACAGATTTCGAATTATCTTAATATTCTCGTCAAATTAGGTAAAGTTGACAAATATATTTAGTTCATTTAGACACTATTTTTTCTTTTGACATGAATTTTGAGTTATCTATATATTCTCGTCAAAATAAACAAATGATGAAAGTTTCTAGCATTTTTTGACAATCTAGTCTTTTTCATTAATTTTGCTAAATTACTTGGATGACAAATTTTAAAAAAAAAAACACTATAATTTTCATTTTAACAAAAAAATAGATTTTGTTATGAAATTTCAATTGAGATGATAGATTAAAAATTGAGTAATGGCATTCGTATAGGCTCACTAAGGCAGTCGTCCTACGTGGCATACACAATCACCTATCATGTACATGTCATATAGGGCGACTGTTGTAGTGAGCGACTGCGAATATCATTATTCCTAAAAATAATAAATTTAAATTTTTAAATTTTTACCTTTCCAAATAGTGGTCTGGCCTAATTCAATATTTTTGGGTAATTTCATCATCAACCATTAAATTTCAACAAAATTTCTATTTGATTAGTAGATTTTAATCTATCTCAATTGTACCACTAACCTTCAATTTAGTTTCAAATTGGACTATTGAACTTTAAGTGCCTGTTTGAGGCACATTATATGCTCTCATTTTTAGAAAAAAATGATCCGTTAATGGGCCCTACAAGCCAGCATAGTTGACTTCTTCTCACATTATAGAAGCAGCAACGGTAAGTTTTCTTCTACTTTCGTAGAGCAACGGTCACTTTTTGTATATTAATATGGCTCAAACAGGCACTAAATGTCAGATTTTAAACTTCATCACATGTCAATGTCATATAACAAATTGAAAAAAAAAAATTGTTTAACTACTTATACTGCAATCTTCTACTGGATCTAACTCAGTAATTTACTAGTATCACTTCATAAAATCGCTTGAAAAAATACATCTTTTAATCATTTATTTAATTTAAAGACATTAATTAACTCTCATCCATCATTCTTTATTATAGAGTTCTACATTTCAACTATGTTGATATGATTGTCAACTAAATAATTTGTACCACTTTGGGGGCAATAGGTGACAGAATGTGATGCATTGGAGAAATTGTAAACTAAATTGAATTTTCATGTTCTAATTGAGATAAATTAGATTATAATGATCGAATTAAAATTTATCTGAAAGTTCAGTGACCATAGATCAAATTTTGCCAATATTTTCCCAAAACGTCGCCACCAATCAAAAAATCAATTCAACACCAAGGCCCGCTGAAAAGTTCTTTTACAGAGCATTGCCCACCCCACCCCACCCCACCCCACCCCACCCCACCCCCTTTAAATATAAGCGACGGAGAAATTATATTACTAGAAATTTCGAATAGAGTTTGCCAATTTGGGATCTCAAAAATGTCAGACGAGGAAGAATCACACCTCACTGACAAGGAGAAAATAGAAATTGCCAAATGGTTCCTCCTCAATTCACCCGTTGGCGAAATTCAATACGTCGCCAAAGGTATCCACACTTTTCTCACAAATGAATGAATATGTTTATGCATTTATATGAAATTGAAATGAATCAACATTATGCAGATGTTAGGGAAGTTTTGAAGGACGAGAGAGTGTATAGGATTGCTGCTGCAGAGGCGTTTCCACTGTATAACAAATCGCACATGATATGCCTCGGATTTCCCGACAGAAGCGGTGAGGTAATGCGAGCGCTGTCATTTTTTCTTTACTTGGAATCAATTGTTAAGTTTCGATTATGTAGATGGTTGATACGAAAATTTTATCAGGCACATATGTTAGTTTTTATTTTATGCACTCTTGCCTGGAGAGATAGCTGGATCAGGAAATGGGCTTTAGAATAGTGTTATTGCCTGATAATAGTGGCAGGAAATGGGCTTTAGAGTAGTGTTATAATGGAAACTGCAATAAAATGAATTTTATTATGTTATTTGTTTTAGGGTAGACGTTACACCGGACAATGTTGAGTTTCTTGCTTCGTAATAATCCATAAGTATTCTTTTTAAATTTTAAAGCAATGGATTGAATGATATGCTGCCACAAGGAGAATTGGACATCACTGTCTTGATAGTATGCTACTTTATGTCATGGCGTTTGCAGGTTCTGGTTACATCATTTAATGAGATTGATAAGAATGAATATTTTGATCCAAGGACTGCTCAGGTTGCAATAGTTGACCATGTGAAACAGGTGACTTGTTCTTTTTCTCCTTCATGACTGTTGAGTGCATGTAGTTGAATGATTTTTATAGTGATAGTTTGTCTACTTGTTTTGAGCTTTAGAATATCTCCCTTTTTTGTATAAAAAAAATAAAACCAGATGCTTTTTCCTCAAGTTACGCTAAACTCTGTATAGATTGTTATTCTCCCACTTATATTCTGAGTTGTTGCATGAGATAATACAAGAGATTTTGTTGGTGGTTGTGGATGGTGTTCGTCAACCACAAACTTCCAACTCTGTGGTAATAGTCCATTTTATTATTCCTATTCTGATTGCCATTGGGAAAATTCTCAACTAGTTCAATTATATATGGTAAATAAACTAAATAAAATATCTTTCATATACCTTATGGCTTATACCTTATTCAAATTAAAGTATGATACAAGAAATAGGGAATTATGCACAAAATCTGACTCTAAAATTGTTATTGAATTCACAAAGAGAATTAACATGCAAAGTCTTCTTGTGGCTTAAGCACAAAGCTTGTTGCTTGCTTTTTTGATACCAAGTACAGACTATGTGTTAATTACTAAATGAAAACCTCTATAGATGAATAATATGTATAGAAAACTTCAGAAATTGCTGCAATTTCAGTTAATTTCAGCATTGCATCGAACGAGTCAGCAATGAATCAATCTGGGATTAAGACTTTATTTATATTTAAGCAAATAATCATATTTCAGAAACAAACCTTAACCAAAATCGGTGTTTCCAATGAGAAAGGGCTATAAAAAACCAGAATTTATCAAAGCACGATTTTTCTATGCTTCACACTCTCTTTTGGGCTTTGTCGAAGCTCCTTAACACTAAAAAGAAGCCCAGGACATGCCTTGAAGTGCTTTGTGCTCAGCCACCCTCGTATGCTTACTTTTAACCATGGTGGGCTTCAAACACAATATATTTGCAAGGCAGGTCCTGGATAAGCTTTATGTTTAGTTTTATCATTTATGTGCGAAATGTGGATTCAGATCCTGTGTTTCTTCTGCCTCGTTATGTCAATCTCAGTAGAGCAAAGCCGAAACTGTCACCAATTTTGGAATGATGAAAGATAGTCTTATTGACTTGTTAAATTGCTTGATCACTTGAGGTTAACATACGTATTGATGCTGTAACATCATTCCCATAATTACATGTCAGTGCGAATAATGTGGAATGGCATAATATGATGAGCCTGCAAACTACATTCCCTTGCATATATTGCTCCAACCTGTATAAATAGGGATTTAGCAAGAAACTATGGGTTGAATAGATTATTTTTTAGGATTAATCAGAGCTCGTTTTAGGATTTTCACCAATAAGAACTGGAGCTATTAAACATTTTTGCTTGTTCATGGCAGTACTCTAAGACAGAAAAACCAAATTCTCGCATATTAGGTAAGACAAATAAATGGGTACTGCAGTAGAAGGGATTTTCCTTACACATGAAGCTTCTTACAGGTGGATATAACTGGAATAACTCCGGAAGGTCATAGTCAAGTGTCTCTTATGGATGACTCCCTTTATTTTCATGAAGCTGGTGGAAAGATAACATTAATATATTAATAGTCTGAATATCAATCATAGAGATTGGAGGCCTTGTTAGGAAATGAAATCCAAGAGCTCGTAACAAAGTTGGCACAAGCATTAAATTACAATCGATCTCTTTATTCGATTCCTACAATAAAATTACTTGGTGCTTATAATAAAAAAAGTGCATACCTCAGATATATTGTTACCTTTGTGATGCAGATTTTGTTTTCTTCTTTGTTTGAATGAACTGGTTATTGCCTCCGGATATTCTCTTAAGTAGTGGGTGGACAATTTAGGATGAAAGAAGATTGAATTTAAAAGAGAATTTTACGAACACACACTAAAGTGTATAGTGCGTGCAAAAGGGAGAAGAGGAGGGGTGGGGTTGAAGGTGGGGAGGCAGCCATAGTGAGGTTAGGATGATCATCCCCTCTTGTGTATATAGACACTCCAGAAATGCTGACCTTCGCAGTCCATGTCAAGTTCTTCCTCCTACATGTATCCTAAATGGCCTAATAAAATATCAGTACCATCTTTATATAATTGGATCCATTAAGGGGACTCAATGACTTTTGTAATTCAAGCTCTAATTATTCAAGTCCACTCTTGATCAACTATTGTCCAACTCAGTTCCGTCCATTAATATTGGGCCACTCCACTAAAGGCCCAATATTGGAACCTTAAATTATAAAGACAGGTACAAAGCCCAATAATAAATATACTGAAGTCCTAAGATCTAAGAAAGTGAAAGGAAATGTCTAAAGTCAAAAAGGCTCATCACAAAATATTAAATTTGAAACAACCTTGATTCAGGTTGGAGAGCGTAATTACTTGGATAGTGGCAAGATTGAGCCTCTTATTACTTCATGTTAAGAAAGATGCTAGCTAGCCAACTTGATCTTCACAGAGTAATTTTGTCATGAAATATATGTATAAATAGTAAACTATTTTATAGAAATGTGTACAATAATTTTATTAATGGTTATTTATTTATATTTTTTTAACACTTTTAATTCCCAAAATTACTTTTTTTTATTATATAATTTAAAATATTTACGGAACGATTGTTGGAAATATTTAGATATATGTTGTCAATATACTAAATGATAAACATTATTATCCATTTCATTTGACTTTTCTAGATTCATACTATTATACATGTTTTTTTCTCCTTTTCTATTTTCCATTATTATACATGCTCTTAATTTTGCAAAACTTTTTATGTCATAGTATGTCATTTTGTGCAGGTTTGCACAGATGCTAGACCAGCAAATGATGATGAACTTCCTTCCTCATATATTGAGGAATATCGGTAAGCTGTGTTAATTGTTATTAAAGCTTGTTTACTACCCAAGGAAGAAAGAGATTTTATGTTTGCTATTCATCGAATGAGTGATGATTCTACATTCCAACCTATTTGAAGTTCTAAATGAAACTTAGCTTTGCCTTTTACCAGCTGGTGTAGGAAGCTAGTTGTCACATTATTAATTTAGTCCTGTATAGTAGGACGTAGAGAAAGTTCAAGAGCATATGAAAATAGTACTTGAGTTCAAATTCCTTACAGTTCACATTGAAATTGTACAAATATTTAATTCTCATCGGAACTAAATAATTAAAAATATATTTTATACCATCAGAAATAAGAATAGAGGATGAATGAAATAAAAGATGTTTCATATTTCTAAAAATGTAAAAATAAAAAAATAGCTTTCAAATCATGTTGGAAAGCTGTGTGCTGAGTTGGCTTGGGGATTTCTGTGATTTTGTAACTGTTATGAGATGCTTTCTTGAAAACTAAGTCGCCAATTCATATTTTTATGGCTAAAATAGTGAATTTGTACAGCCTCGCTGTCAAGCTTTGAGGCGTTTTTTCTCTCCTTGCTGTGAAGCGGGCCTTAATTGGGTTTATAAAACCTTGACTAACCCATTTTAGGTCTGGTTTTAGACAATTTCGGACCGTTGCACGGTTATTTTTTGCATTCAATTTCTATTTTTTTTGACAAAGAAATGACTACAGGCTCTACAGCCTGTCAAAAGATTCTTTGAACTTTTGCTTTCTCTCTATTGCCCCTAACACTTCCCAACCAGTAAATTAAGTAAAACAATGAAATGAGGGTAAAATTGAAAAATTGGTTTTTATTATGATCCTTTACTAAGACAAAATTTGCAGCGAGTGCACCCTATTGATTTGACATGAAAATGCATTCTCGAAATTAATGGCTTCCAAACATAGGCGAAATTTCAGTTTTTTTAAGAGCGTGACTTGGCCCCTTTGTCTCTCTTTAATTTAATTTTTAGCCAGTTTTCAACTCAACTTTTTTGACAATGGTGGGCCCATGTCTGCACCCTATCTAATCACTTGGCAGAGGATATCATTATCCAAGGAACCGTTGAACAGTGTAAGGACATTACTGCCTTCCACTTTTCCTGTCAAATTACAAAATTACCCCCCAATGCATAGCCCCCGTTTTGACACCTAATGTTTGTAGGGGTATTATGGTATTTTAGTCATCTAGTGTAAAAAATTTCATTAATTATTATTGACCACCAGTTCCACACGTCACCTGCAATGTCAGTTGGAATGGACACATGGGGCCAGCATGTGGTTGAAAAATTCAGCAAATAATGAATTTTAATTGAATTTAACGGGGGCTTAATAATTAGCTCTTGTATGATAACCTTTTTTTTTTTAATCATAAACCCATGTTTTCTACTTTAGCTGCGAACCATGATGTGTAATCATATCACTTCAAATCAATTTGTTTCTTCCAAATCTACCCTCCAAATCAATTCGTACTAGTAAATTAGACTTGTGTCATTCAGGATAGCAATAGAAAATCAAATTCTCAACAGGTTTCTGCATGAAAAGAAGGAAAAGGCTGTCAGATGGATTCAGCAATATTTAATTAATATACCACTGTAGAAAAAAATTAAAAAATGCTTTAAAATGCCAAAATAAAGAATGTCAAACAGGGGTTTAATGGATCGTGTTGCATAATCCATGTATCAAATACAAGAACACCAGGTACATTTAGCTCATTTGCCTAGAGCTTTCTTCTTTATAGGTGGCATTCAACTCAATGGCGGGTATTGGAATGGATGCCATCTGGTGAATAGAGTTGAAATCAAATCAAAATTATATATTCATTATCATGGCTTGTATTGGAATTCAGTCTATTGGAGGCAGTGTTAATCTGCTACAGTACAAATTACTTCCTTGACTGTTATGTCTTCGGCTTAATGGAGAACATGCTCCTATGAAGATAGATCATTCAACAGTATTATTTAAATCATACTGTTTAAAATTCATTGTTATACATATGGACGCTTTTTCCTTAACTGGGTAAATCTATTCACAGCTTACATTCGTGGGTAAAGGCATCATGGTCGTGACTCGTGGGACAACATTTTTTAAGTAAAAGAGTTCGATACAACTATTCTTTTGCTTTTGTTTAGTTCTGTGGAATAGGTTGTAGCACTTCCTGCTCTCAATCCCAAGTCTGCACAAGACTTGAACCTACAGTGCACGGTCATACAAAAAGGACTTGGCCAACTTTTGGTATTGGTCATCAGGAAATGTGGAAATAAAATATAAAGATTTATTTGCAAGTGTGGAACATAGTGAAGTTAGAACTTATATGTGAGAGAATTACTAATAGCTGGAGATGTGAATAATTTTTGAAGGTTAATGTATAAGTTTTTTGTTCTACATCTTGACTGAGAGTGCTTCTGTTACCTGTGTGAGAGAACTACTAATTTAAAGCTTGAGATAGCGAGTAATGTTTGAAGTGTAGCATATATATACCCAGTTCTAAATCTTGCTTGGGAACCTTGTGTACAAGTAATGACATAATTGGTTTTCTTTTCCATTATTTATTTTCTTTCTTGTTATTTGTAAATTACGTAGTGTTGCTTGCTGCATCATTATACCAGTTTCCTCTAGCTACTATCATGTTCTTTCTTGGCAGTTGTGCTTTCGATGCTGAAATTATCAAGTATGTGAGTGAAGCATACCCAAAAGGAATATGTTGCGTTTACTGTACTAATGGAAAAGACATGGAAGAACCAGGCTCCAATTTTGAGTTTGTTGTAGTAATTTCAGCTGCTAGACTCAGCCCTCAGAATTTCTGGTATGTTATAACTTGTCAAGTGCTAGTACCATCCGACTTGCTTTATTCAAAATATGTTTTTTAGTCGATTATCTTCTGGTTTCTGTACTGCATCATATAATGCATGATGCATCTTCCTCACTTCAGTGTAATCGAATATAATAAGCTATCCTTTTGTCTGATATTTTGGTTTAGGAACCTAATGAATTATATATATATATGTTTTATTGAGATGGACATTTCTATGTTGGTCATGGGGCTGAAATCTAGCAAACGATGATAAGAGAGGAATACCTCAATGTCTCTTGGATGATGATGTGTGCTTAGGCCAAAATTATTAAATTACTACTTTAGGCTGCTCGAATGTCTTTTTTCCCCAGGTGGAAAGCAACCGCGAAACCTCTAAAAATTCATTCCGTTCGAAATTGTGTTGGGTTAATCCTTGTAGGATATTCAACCACTTCAAGGCTTAGGAATCAATTTACTTTTTATCTTTTAACTTTCTAGATATCTCATTGTCGAGACAAAATAAGTCTATTTCTGTTCAAGTCTTATCGGACTTGTACGTTTCAGCAGGATTGCATTCTCACAAGTTATTCTTTTCTGACCGGTTTATGGTAAGTCTTTGGGAAAACCTTCTATTTCCACACGCTTAGTTCAGTCATTGATTTATTATGAAGTTTAACCTTTATTGATGGAAAGAAAGGTAAAGGAATTCAAAATCTCTCTACTCTGCCAGTTATGTGTATTGGCATGAGGAAGAAGGCAAAGTCATATTGGGTATCATGACACCTGGACACCCTTCTGTTGCTTAAAATCTTTCATTTAATGTGTAGCAATGGAAGTTGGCGGTCAATATGGACAGTGGAATTCAAGGATGACATACAACTTGTGGAAGTTAGAGGTAAATTGCAGGTACATATAATATATTCTGCAGAATTCAAATTGTTCCTCTCATCATCATATCTTTGGGATAAAGAAAGAAGGAAAGATAAAAAATTGTACTGGGTAATGCATATTGGCGCTCATCTTTGTGTTTCTGTTTCATATAGGTAGGAGCCCACTATTTTGAAGAGGGAAATGTCCAGTTAGATGCAAAGCACGAATGCAGGGATTCAACAATGTTTCAGGTAATGCTGAAGTGTTTTTTTGAGTTTATCCATATCATGCTGGTAGGATTACCTACTACTGTGTTTGTGCCAGTGGCAGCCCCATGGGATAGGAAATTCGGTCTGCTTCATGGACCTGGTTTGGAAGTCATTCTTTTCTTTTTCATTAAACACCTTAGAAAGAGTAATTTTTGTTGTGACAATGATGTGGAAGGTCTGGCTATTCTAACATTTTATAATAAACTCTTTCATATTATGTTTGAACATCCCATTTATAGTTCCGCACTTAGGAGAGGATCTCATAACAGGTATATATGAGAAATTTTACGGTCCTTAGATTTAACCACAGAGAGTTAGGAAACCTGCTTGAAAGGTGAGGAGGATGTGCATGCTATGAACATGAGATGCTACTGGTGAATAATATGCCTATGGTTTTGCAGAATGTCTAATTCTTGCTGACACTTTACCTTTTCAGTCTCCTGATGATTGTGCAGTCTCCTTAACCAATATCATTCGCCTCCACGAAACAGAGTATCTTAGTTCCCTACAGGTTTCTACCTTTTATAAGTTTATCCCTTCTTCTGACTTAGATATTTATGGTTTCTTTCTGGATTTTTCTTCACTAACAATGTTTATATTCGCAGACATCCTATTCAAAATTGCCCGACACCACTTTCAAGGTACTCTTTCTGCTACACGTGCTCTGGGATGAAGTCGATAAGAAAATCACACTTTCCTAGTTCTGAAGTAAAATGCAGTTTCATCATTTTATGAGAGTGCCAACACGTCACTATAAACCTAATCGAATTATCACTCCAACTTGTAATTCTTCTCACATCATTTTTTCATACACCTCAATTTAAATAGCATACATGTATCCGGTTACTAGATGTACAATAATTAAACTTCCAAATTCCATGATATGGAATGAGTGTGAGTCTTTGCGCATATTTGTGGCTATTTTCATAAAGTAAACAGGTAACTTTTTATAATAATCAAGATTGAAAGTAAGTTATCTATTTTGATGGTTCCTAAATTAATCTGGTATGGCTTTCTTTATGCAAACATGTGATCAATTTTCTGAGGATGCAGGACCTTCGAAGGAAGCTTCCGGTTACGCGCACATTGTTCCCATGGCATAACACACTGCAATTCAGCTTGACAAGAGACATATCAAAAGAACTTGGGATTGGAAAGCAGTGAATGATTCTTCTTCCATGGGCTCTCATTTTCAATGTTGTATACTAGGAATTTTCGAATTTCACTTCATATACTTTAAGTGAGTCGATCTAAATTTGCTGTCGATTTTTGCTTTCCTTCTGTAAATCTTTTATTGAAAATTTTGGTTCACTTTTTCTACCTTCTCTCTCTCTCTCTCTCTCTCTCTTCTGCGTCTTGGGTGTGTTTAGTTGCCAATTGGCCTGCGATGCTCGAAAGTATGAGGGTTATTAATCATGTTGCACATTCCAAAGTTATGAGAAGTATTGATAGATGTGACTTTCCTTGTAATCTTTCGAGTTGTAATTTTTGTTTGAATTGTATTAATTTCTTGTAAAGGTAGGGAAATAATTGTGTAGATCACCTTCGGTGAGAGAGGGGACAAAAAATGAAAATAGGATTGTTTTGAAAAGCAAAACTAATGAAGTTTTATTACGTACCACTTGAATACAATTTTAGAAGGATAGAATGGAAAGGAAATTTTTTGAAATTCCACTTGCAATTTTATGAATAAAAAAATTTAAATATGAGCAAATACGATTGAAAAAAGGTATACTTGAAAAATCTCAAGTATAATTGAAAGGCATTGTTAAAAAAGAAATTCCATTGCCGGGAATCGAACCCGGGTCTCCTGGGTGAAAGCCAGATATCCTAACCGCTGGACGACAATGGATTTATTTACAATCTTTCTTATATTAAGAATATAAACTCAAAGAACATGATAATGAACCTAACACGTTGAAGTTTATAGAACGAATNGTGTTTTTTTGAGTTTATCCATATCGTGCTGGTGGGATTACCTACTACTGTGTTTGTGCCAGTGGCAGCCTCATGGGATAGGATATTCGGTCCACTTCATGGACCTGGTTTGGAAGTCATGCTTTCTTTTTCATTAAACACCTTAGAAAGAGTAATTTTTGCTGTGACAATGATGTGGAAGGTCTGGCTATTCTACGTTTTATAATAAACTCTTTCATATTATGTTTGAACATCCCATTTATAGTTCCGCACTTAGGAGAGGATCTCATAACAGGTATATATGAGAAACTTTATTGTCCTTAGATTTAACCACAGAGAGTTAGGAAACCTGCTTGAAAGGTGAGGAGGATGTGCATGCTATGAATATGAGATGCTACTGGTGAATAATGTGCCTACGGTTTTGCAGAATGTCTAATTCTTGCTGACACTTTACCTTTTCAGTCTCCTGATGATTGTGCAGTCTCCTTAACCAATATCATTCGCCTCCACGAGACAGAGTATCTTAATTCCCTACAGGTTTCTACCTTTTATAAGTTTATCCCTTCTTCTGACTTGGATATTTATGGTTTCTTTCTGGATTTTTCTTCACTAACAATGTTTCTATTCGCAGACATCCTATTCAAAATTGCCCGACACCACTTTCAAGGTACTCTTTCTGCTACACGTGCTCTGGGATGAAGTCGATAAGAAAATCACATTTTCCTAGTTCTGAAGTAAAATGCAGTTTCATCATTTTATGCGAGTGCCAACACGTCACGATAAACCTAATCGAATTATCACTCCAACTTGTAATTCTTCTCACATCATTTTTTCATACACCTCAATTTAAATAGCATACATGTATCCGGTTACTAGATGTACAATAATTAAACTGAGTCTTTGAGCATATTTGTGGCTATTTTCATAAAGTAAACAGGTAACTTTTTATAATAATCAAGATTGAAAGTTATCTATTTTGATGGTTCCTAAATTAATCTGGTATGGCTTTCTTTATGCAAACGTGATCAATTTTCTGAGGATGCAGGACCTTCGAAGGAAGCTTCCGGTTACGCGCACATTGTTCCCATGGCATAACACTCTGCAATTCAGCTTGACAAGAGACATATCAAAGGAACTTGGGATTGGAAAGCAGTGAATGATTCTTCTTCCATGCATTCTCATTTTCAATGTTGTATACTATGAATTTTCGAATTTCACTTCATATAAAGTGAGCCGATCTAAATTTGCTGTCGATTTTTGCTTTCCTTTTGTAAATCTTTTATTGAAAATTTTGGCTCTCTCTCTCTCTCTCTCTCTCTCTTGGGTGTGTTTAGTTGTCAATTGGCCTGCGATGCTCGAAAGTATGAGGGTTATTAATCATGTTGCACATTCCGAACTTATGAGAAGTATTGATAGATGTGACTTTCCTTGTAATCTTTCGAGTTGTAATTTTTGTTTGAATTTTATTAATTTCTTGTAAAGGTAGGGAAATAATTGTGTAGATCACCTTCGGTGAGAGAGGGGACAAAAAATGAAAATAGGTTGTTTTAAAAAGCAAAACTAATGAAGTTTTATTACGTACCACTTGAATACAATTTTAGAAGGATAGAATAGAGAGGAAATTTTTTGAAATTCCACTTGCAATTTTATGAATAAAAAAATTTAAATATGAGCAAATACGATTGAAAAAAAGTATACTTGAAAAATCTCAGTATAAATGAAAGACATTCTTAAAAGGGAAATTCCATTGCCGGGAATCGAACCCGGGTCTCCTGGGTGAAAGCCAGATATCCTAACCGCTGGACGACAATGGATTCACTTACAATCTTTCTTATATTAAAATTATAAAGTCAAAGAACATGATAATAAACTCACAATTACAAACTATACATTACCACATGCACTTTGTAGCATTTGTTGATCCTAAGTCAACACGTCGTATATTTAACAGAATTTCGATTATTGTTGAAGATTTTATTTCTAAGTTGCATGCATAATTAATTACTAAATAGATTAATGATTGTTGATCCCAAGTCCGCTCTCTATCGATATATTTAATTGAATTATCTATAGTAATTAATTGAACGGGAATGTTTTATTTTCCACCGTCTTTAAAATTATAGTTTTACCACTCCATATTTTCACTTTTTAAGTTTTTAGGTCTACATTTTTCACAAGGAAAGTTTCCACATTTTTAGTCCTTTCCTCGCTTTGCTAGTTCGTTTGTTATGCATTTGTTATATCTATGTGAAAATTTATACTTTTCCATATATACAAATTAATTATGTGGCCGCAGATGGTATAGCTCGAAAATCGAAAATTTATAATGGCATTTGGTGAATGAGCACTATTGTAGTCGTTCAACGTGACATATATGTAGCGGTTAGTGATTTGATGTATCAATGTGATAATTTTTTATTGTTTCATGCATGAAATCATTAATTATCACATGTATGGCAACTACAGTAATGAATGACTATAAATATCGTCATTTTTGTTGAATTCATATGAAATCATCTGTACGTAATTTATGTTGTTATGATTGCTTTCTTTTATGTTTAAGTTACAGCATTTTTATGAGGTCCAATGGTGGTAGGATGGAGATAGATTTTGGAAAGGGTAATGCTAATGGTATACCACTACTAACATAAGGATCTACATAATGGACACCTGGCGCTCTTTCATTGGAGGGAGGGTTGATGGGGTCGGCACTCTCTCCAATGAGAGGGTGCCGGGTGTCCATTATGGANTACAATCTGTTCGATTTTTGGTTTAATCACCTCGTCCGGCACGTGGCTTGGTCCACGTGGGTGGACACGTGTCGGGGTGAGGTGGCGGGTCTGACACAGGCCCGTAACAAGCACTATTGTAGTCGTTCAACGTGACATATATGTAGCGGTTAGTGATTTGATGCATCAATGTGGTAATTTTTTATTGTTTCATGCAGGAAATCATTAATTATCACATGTATGGCAACTACAGTAGTGAATGACTATAAATATCGTCATTTTTGTTGAATTCATATGAAATCATCTGTACGTAATTTATGTTGTTATGCTTGCTTTCTTTTATGTTTAAGTTACAGTATTTTTATGAGGTCCGATGGTGGTAGGATGGAGATAGATTTTGGAAAATGCGAAGTTGTTGCATTTGCCGAAATGCTATTAACCATCTCCTGTGTTCCTTAACGAAATCATGTCATGGCTATTGAGAAATGATTAAATTTTAAGGGATTTACTTTCGTAAAACATCTTTTGCTGCCAAGTTTGTGCAATTGCATAAAACTTGTTCACAAAAATACGTCGAATTAAAATTATCGCAAGTGTATGGTTCGTTACAAGTAATAAAGTGGACTTTTTGAGTCCGAATATCGTCCCACAAGATTGATTAGTTCTAATTCAAATTATCGTGACCTTAACCGAAACAATAAAAATGTTTTGTTTATTATGATGAACTTCTAACTAAAATAGAAATGCGGATGCAATTACGAGTGATGAATTAAGCTAAGGATCCGTTTGATTGTAACGATGGAAAATAGGCAGAAAGAAAATAAATTTTAGGGGAAAAAACTGCCTAAAATGTTTTGCAGAGAATTATTAATTAAGTGTGTTTGATTGATATCATTTCTAGGTAGAAAATTTTTAAATTTTGTGTTCGTTTGACTTAATTTTATATGAAAATTTTCCATTAAAGTGATATTTTTTTTTCACAATTGATTATAAAAAAAATTTCAATTGCCAAATAGTAAAAGAAAAAAAAAATTTCTTTTCTAAAAAAATCTTTTTTTTCATCAAAATTTAGTATTCGTTTGACTTTGTTTTATATGAAAATTGTCTATTAAAGTGGAAAAAAAAATTTATAACTGGTAAGAGTGAAATATAAATTCGAAGTCATAAAAATAAAATATTTTAAAGTATTGATAATATTTACCAACTATTTAATGTAATCATCAGTTGCTTGACTTTCCATACTAGTTACTAAGAAATTATATAAGAAAAACTTGAAAAAAACACAACTAACAAATATAAATAAACTCTAAATTGGTCTACTAATAAGATTTAATAAGAAAAAAATTATTAATTTGTTTAGAAAAAATAAAAGAAATTGATTTATCCAATATAAAAAAAAATCGGTTCTTATTCGGTTCTTGGTCTAGAATCGAGAACCGAATCAAACCATTCGGTTCTCCATTCGGATATCCATTCAGGTATTTCATTTTAAAAAATCCGCTCAATTCGGTTCGGTTC